TTGCAGTAATTTAGCACACGGGCAAATGATCGATAATTTACACACGTACTGAATTATGAGATAATTTGAATATGATTAGATGAATCTCAGAAATTTGGAAGATTTGATTGGCCTAAATTTTGTGAGGAAAATAGTCGGTAAAAGTTCGTGTTAGGACGAATCAAGACGCTATCCCGTAGCCAATCAGATGCAAGTATCTTGACGTAATGTCAGGTAAATCGAAACGTTGTTTAATCGTACGACTAAAAATCAGTTTCTTGTGTAAACAAATATAAAGGGTGCAAAAAATAGTAACGGTGGAATTGCGTAATGTTCGAATTACGTTGTAACGTTGCGATTGGCGAAATTACGCAGCCTCTTACAATGAAAACTGCTACAAAATGGGTTTTTGTGGATCTTGTTGTTTTTGAAAGAATTATTACAATAACAAATCAGTCTTAGCCAAGCTCCCGGACGAGTTACTTGACTTGTCATAATTGTTCGGATAAATTGTTACTTATTTGATGGTTCAGCGCAAAATTGTATTGACATACAGTGAGTGTGTGCTGTGTATTTTCAAGTGCCTAATAGACCTTTAGTAGTGCGCGATTTTTAAAATTTCGAGTGATTAGCAAGTGCCAATGGGAGGAGTTTTCCGGAAAATGGACGAGACAATCGTGCTACAAGGAACTGGATTAAAGGGTAAGTCGAAATTTAAAAAAAATCACATTTAAATTTTATTTAACCATTTTAACAAATTTAATAAATACAGTGTACTAATTTTGTTTTTTTTATTTCAGTAGGTCCGTCCTACGAAGATGAGGGGAAGGGTAGCACAGAAAAAGATGCCATATAAGGTCAGTGCACTTTAATTTTTATTTTGTTTATTGCAAAGTGAAGTATGTGAATTAGTGATTTTTGAGTACAACAGTAAGTACATATTTATTAAAATATGAATAGAACATAATTGTGTTTTAGACAAAATCTGGGAGTATTATTTCTCAAATTCTATTTCGAAATTTGCAGAAACCAGTACAAATTTACTTTTGAAGTAATTTTAACAGAAAAATTGTCATTATGTTTTGTTTATCGCAAAGTTAAGTGTGTAAAATATGTGATTTTTGATTACAATAGTAACTGAAAAACATGTATTCTTAAATGACATTACAGTTCCAAACACAACAGAAAACTTATCAAACAAAAAATTGATACTTCCAATTACTAATAAAAACCTCGTGTAGTTAAAAATAAAAAACAAAAAAAATGTGTTGTAATGAAAACAAATCTTTGGACATCTTTCGTAATGCACTCTGTATTTTTACATACATATCGGGTGCGGCATCGGTTACGCCCATTGATAAATCTCGACTTCTAATTAATTAAAACTGGCGATATTTCATATACCTAACTAATTATTGATAGGGTATAATTTGAGAATTTTTCTATTTTTTTTTGATAATAAATGAGTCCGTAACAGTTTTGTGTGTTTTATGAATACTTTCAGTTAATTTACCTATAAAGTTTTTACACTAAATGAATCTGTAGGTACCTGTTAGCGCATCAAACTTTGATATCACAATTTCCAATTTTGACTTAGTGGTTATCCAAATAATCGCTTTTTTATTTAAACACAATCCAGACCCGTGATTTATGACAAAATGCTATAATTTTCCAACAAAAGAATCATTTACTGGTAGCCGACCGCTTTAAAGGGTCTTTTTGTTGTAAACCTTACCCCAATTGCAGTTCCCCATTGTCACCTAAATTTACGATGGCATTAGTAGCAGGTCATAAATACAAATAATTTTCAAAGTTAAGATAGAAAATTGCATTTAATTCAAAATCTAATTGGTATTTTTTTTCTGATTTTGTAAACAATTATAGGAATTGAATCTGCATAGGTCAGTATAAAAATTGGAATTAAACTTTTTTTGCTTTGTTTGTAAATGAAAAATTACCAAAAAATTAGAGAATGTACCTTACTAATGCCGGTAAAAAAAAATAAGTGCGAAAAATTCAACAATTTTATTTAATTAGAAGTGAGGATTTTCTTTCTGGGCGTAACAGATGCCACACCCGGTATAAACATTAAAAAGTATTATTTACAAAGTTTGAGCTTTATTACTGCACATTTAACACAAAATATTTTTATATTTTAACACAAAATATTTTTTTCGTTGGTTAGTTTTTTGTCAGTTTAAAATAATTTGAAAAACGCGTTTATTGTATAAAAGTAAAGAGTTATGTGTTAATTATTTTTAAGACTGAGACAAAAAACAGTGTTCTACAGGTAGAATCTTGACAGCAACTCCAAGGTATTTTAAAGACAATAATAAAATGTTTAACTGCTTTTGTCAATATCTTTCTAAATACTCGGGATATTCAGGTAAAGGCAGGTGGTCGTTGACAGTTAAAATAGTTGTAATAAAGAAGAAGTAATGACAAAATTATACTTTTCCTGTGATCGTATTCGTATATTTCTTGATACTATTATTAATACACACTTGAAATTTTGCAAATTTCACATGCTTTCCTCATAGTCAGTTGATCGATCCCATGTCACGACAATAAACCGCAAATTACACATGATGCATCCTCCGGAGGTGTAATAATCTCGCAATCGAGGATATTACAACACGTCGTGCGATAGGTGTTGGCGACGCAGGCCAAAGAAGAGCGTCCAAGGACGAGTTTGGGTCCCATCATCGTGCTGGGGAAACCTCTCGGGGTACAATCCCATGAGATGGACGGACGGAGAATGGAATTCGAAGTTGGCTCGGGGCGATTTCGACCGACATAATACAAGGACACCCTACGGGAAGCATATTTTACAGCACACCCAGTCAGCCGGAGGATATCTCGCCCACAGCCCGCAGCGGACACGGTGTTTGTATAATGTACAAATTATTCTGCCTACCTCTCAGACCGGATCATCGTCCAATCCCACAGACGAATTTTTATGGCGTGGGCTTTTTGCACCACCCGGAGAAGACCGATCGAGGGTTGTCGTAAATATGACGAAAGATCTTTCGCTTACTTGGAATTAGTGGGAGTGCTAGGCGTCAAAGCACTGAGTCAAAGCTAATAAAGCTAAAATAAAGTTTTTACTTTGAAAGTATGATTGTCGCAGGGATGCAAAATTTATTGGAATACACTGCACCATGAATCAAAGTTATATTTATTTAAATAAATGTTTACGTACAAAAATCAAAGATATGAAATATTATTGCTTTATGTTCTAAATGGAAGATGGAAAGTTGATTCGTTGACAGTCGGAACCACCATCATAAATTTCATAGTGATTAAATCTTAAAAAAAAATTAATTACACCTTTGAATGCATTTTTAATTCGTATAATTCTTTTCGGAAAACTGCTTTGCTTTAAAAGTGTAAAATAAATTTGTTAATTATATTAGATAAGTACCTACATAAAAAACATAGCATGTTTTTGATCATATTTTTTCGATAGGACCTAAGATATTTAAGAATTTTATGAAAAAGCTAATACCGAAGTGCGAAGTAATCTGAAAAATGAAATTAAAAAAAAATAATATAACTTTAAAGTAAATATGTGTTTAGCTTTTTAGTTCATACATCGATTCTAAAAGAAAAATATTTCAATAAAATTATTGTATTAAATTTAGTTGCGAATTGACGTAATATGACCCAATTGAAATGTTTTTTCAAGGGTTACCCTAAAGTACGCAAATAGGACTGTTTGGCTTGTTGCATTTCGCAAAATTAGATATCTGTTACAAGCAGTTGAGGAAGAACTTTTCTGCTGGATGAAGTAATTAGGTATCTGTTGAGTTCCGGGGATGAGTTGTTTTTTCAGTTTTAGTTTGGTGAATTATCCAATTTCAATAAACCCAGTTTCCAGTTAATTGTTCGTTGTAATTCTGAACGCCTAAAGGGACAGGTCGACCAAGCAAGGGGTATTTTCACGGCGCTACAACCACATCTTGTTCTGACACAAGGTTTAAAAAAATTTATAAACTAAATGTTGCCCCCAAGGAAACTCAAAAATAATTTGCAATGATTTTCTAAATTAAATATTGTACGGATGCACATATAATTTTGTAATAACTAAAAACTATTATAACCGGTTGTACCATTTGCTTATGTTCTGTATTATTGGTTGCATAACGTAAACATACATTTTTCAAGTTTTGTGTAAGTTGGTAAAAATAATGGTAAATTAACACTGGTCTCCACCACCGTTACGCTCACTTCAAAGTAAATCTGAGCAATACGATACATATCCTACGAAACAACAAAATATTATTTTATCGTAAAATTTTTCGCAAGAGTTTCAAACTCAGAAAGATACAGGGTGTTTCACACAACTTTACGAGACTTGCGCCTAATGTACGCACCCAAATATACAAAAGTCACAAAACACTAGATTAAAAAAATAGACATTTAATTATTTAATTTTTGGAAACCCTTGACAGTAGTTGTCAAACTTATCACTGCTTCATTAATAGTTCTAAACTGCAGTTTTTCAGAAACAATTATTATTTGTTTTATCAAGAGACGGCATGAATATGATTCTAGTTTATCTATCTTAATCACTAAATAAAAACGTAATTTTTTAATTAATGTCGGAGTATTATTGATTGCATCTTACAGACACAGACCTCTTAAAATTATGTGAAACACCCTGTATATTTATATTATTAAGGATGTGTTGTGCTGTAGCTTGGGATGATCAAAGATCTCACTGGTTTCAAAAATGGTATGTCGTTGCATAACATATTTTATTTTCTACCACAGGTTGTACCAACACGTAATTTGATTTATTTATTAATATAATAAACATCTAGAATGTCTTTCTTTGTAGTATTGATTAATTTTATCACTACTTTTGAAAATATAATTTTTGTGGGCTTCCATAAGAAAAAACCAATAGTCGTTTTAAATGAAACAACAATTTATTTAAATCCCAAAACAATGCATTTGTACTTTTAAAAAGGGGACAATAATAAGGCCAATCAGCTACTGAACATAAACAACTTAAGTACTGTATATACAGATCCACAGCACCCATTAAATGGAAAATGTACTTGGATTATAATTATTAAAGGTTATGTATATACAAAAATCAAACTAAAACCTGGTGACTACTAGTGAAGACATGTTTAGTAATAAAAATAGATATGGATATTTTATTATTACAAAATAATTGCTATAAAAATGACGCGTAAACACACATGTATTTACAATAAACAAAACTAGAATCAAATAATCAATTTATTATATTAAATATTACTTCTATAACAAAAATTATATATATCTATATCCATAGTTAGATTAAAAAACAATTATACAACTAATTACAAATTATTAACATGACCTTCTTAAAATATTTTCTTATAAAGAAAACTCACATCATTATAGAAAATCTACAATATATTTACACCCTTACATATCTGTAGAAAAACCTACGATACTTAATCTTTTCACTTCGTGTTATATGAGACTATCAACAAAAAATATGTGTGTAAAACAATTTTTATGACTAATTGTAAGTAGGAAAATATGAAGCTTGCACTGCGCAGTCTCTAGATGTATTTTTGACATTTATTATATAAAAATTGTTCTGAAAGTTTTGATACAAAACATTTCGTTTGGAATTTAAAAAAATACTTTAAACAATGCAAACCAATTTTGTTCTTTTAAGCTAACCAAGAGTAATGATGGCAATGCTACGCATCGGAAATAAAAAACGTGTTAAATAATAGATAAAATATTGTTTACATGACCTTAGTGGTTAAAAATGAAAAATCATAATAAATAACAATAACAGAAGATGAGAATAAAAACAAATTTGGGGCACTCACGACGTCTCCGAATATCACAACACTGACGAGAGGCGAGCATCACTTGAGATATGATTTGTATAAAAGTTTACTTTTGCATAGGTCTTTTTCAGTTTCAAACAAAAATTGCAAGTCCCTCAACGTCACTTTTTTCATTCGCTGTCTCAATGGCATCTGACCTCTCAGTCCACTGTTGAATCCACCAGCATTGGCCTTAAAAAACAAACATCACACAATCAAAAACGACAAAATCGAAATTTTTACTTGTGATAAACTCGACTGCGCATCTCCGTCCAGTCGCGGCTTTTTTCGCGGTCCAATGGCCTGTAAAGCCGTCGCATTTGCTTCCCTCTGTCTCAATTCCTCCATTTCCACCCTCTGCATTTCTCTCGCTTTTGCTTTGAGTTTGGCTTGCTCTGGATCTTCTGTCTTCGACCGACTTTTCGCCGCTCTCAAAAGCATCTCCCTCTCCAATTCCTCATGCCTTTTTCTCTCCGCCCTATCAACGTCCTCCAAGAATTTTAGCTGACCTAAAAACAATGTTTTTAACCTTCATACTCGTGTTTACTTCAATTCTTGAGGTTTTACCTTTAACGTCGTTTGTGACTTCGTATCGCAAGTCTTTTTTGACCATTTCCAGTCTGTGTTCGGTGATAATGGCCAACTTTTCAATGAGATTTTTGAGTCTTTCCTGTGCTGCGTGCGATATACATGCAGCGACATCTGCGCTCGGTTCCTCAAGGCCATGCTTCATCACAATCTGTCTAATTTTCTGTTGTAAAGGTCCCATTGAACACATGATTTCCTCTTTGCAGGATCTGATTTGAGTGCCGACGAATTCCGTCGACCCCAAAATTTTCTGGGTTTCCTCAGCGAGATTAACGCCTCCCATAGCGGCCACATCGTTGATGTCATCATCGCCGGTATACGCTGCCGAAAATGACTTTTTCTCCTTTTCTTTGCTGGTAGGTCGCGAAACTATCGAAGGCACTGCCGGTTTGCTTCCTTGGAGCTTCATCGACGTCATTGGAGATTTATTCTGCAACAGAATGTCACTTAAAGTTCGTTTGACAATTATGTGATTGTCATTTACCTGTAACGGTTGCCTTATGTTGCTACCAGCTCTGACCTGGTTACTGGGATAGACAGGATGGAGAGCTGGTGGTTGTGAACTGGAAACGATGACGTTTCCAGCTGAGTTTGGTTGTCGTATCGTCGTCATCATTCTGGGTGTTTGTTGTGTAGCGCCTCGCAACGGAGTTACCAGCCGTTGCTGGAGTACATGCCCTGGCCTAACAACTGCGGTGCCTGGGGCTACTATTCGCACTTGGTTGGAAGCTATGCCCGGTCGTACTTGCGTCTGAATTGTTGGAGTGCCGCTAGCTATTGAGAAAACAACATTGGCGGGTGGAGGACGGATCCCATCTATCGTCAGTTCTTTCGTTACTAACGAGTGACGTAGCAGAGGGAGGCTTTTCTGAAATAAATAACCGTACTTTAGTTACTTTATTTCCGATAACGGCAAAAATAAACTTTACTTTGCCAAATTATACTATATACCAGTCTTTATAAATGATCACGTACCACGTGATCAAAACAAATAGTATAACTATAATCAATGTAGAATCTCTAAATAAAGTATTGATGCCAAGAGTCACGTGATTTTTTTATCACTTATGGACATTGCATTTTTTTTACATAGAACTAACTCACTGTTGGATCGTTTTTTATTTTATAGTTATAGTAAATTTCATATTCTGTGGTTGGAATATTTATTAAGCTTTAGTCATGACTTTTTCATATTACAAGAACATTGTATCGCGACCTGAGAACCAGAAGGTTCTAAGTGACTTAGTAAATTTTACAGGGTACCATTTATAATATTTGCACATGTAGAAAACCCTAATCTTTAGGAGTATTAATTAAATTATGTTTAACTAATTATAATAAATTATTACCTTGGAAATATGTCACATTGTCCAATATCAATTTATTTTCTAAATTGTGCACGTACTTTGAACCTTATGGCTCTCAAATGGGAAAAATATTTCATACGTAGTATCGATTAAAAATGTTGTGAATTTGTTATTGTCCTTTTGAACAATAATTACTTACTTTTTACTTTATTCTCTCGTTTTTAACTAATAAATGTGGTACTTTATTCCCTCGAGAATGAAATACTGATTTTTACTCTTAAAATAAATGGAATTGAATGAATCGAATCTTTTAAGTGTTTTTTGAAATAAACAAACATTTTGATATTGATTTTTTACCCTAAAAATTGTAATTATTGATTGTAGCCTTTCATTTTTTGGTTACCTTTTACGCTAGCGGCTACACCGATTTTCTAGTTTTAGAACAGTATCATCGTCTAAATTTATATCTCAGAACTATATGTAACTAATTTAAACATTTTTTTTAGTTTGAGAATTTTTTCAGCAGAATTGTACCCGAATTATAAATTACATCAATGACGAATTCGAAATAAAGCTTATTATTCTACTTAAATAGCCGATATTTTATTTGCTAATTTACTCAGAGGTTGTTCATCAGAATCAACGCTATCATTGTCACAGTTATCGGAAATATGGTTTTTCGATGCCATTAAAACAAGCACTTGGAACTTTTTGGTTCTAACAATTAACGGCAAAGCGCACTTAACAATTAAAAAGCATCGACTCTAACTTTTATAATTTTGATATAAATGACGTATGATGGATTTCATGTATTGGCATGAGAGAATAAATTATAAAAATACATTATTTTAAAAATTAATAAAAGTGTCAATTGGAAACTTCTGGTTCTCAGGTCGCGGTATATAGAAAGTGTTTTCTGGATATTGGGGATTTTCGAAAAAGAATTAGTGAAAATAGTATTAGTAATGGTGTACTCGTGTGTTTAGCAGTGATACTTTGGTTGTAAGTGACTTGAAAACGGATAATTAGACGAAATCGTCCCCTAAAATAACTATTTTCTTAATTTGATATAATGTTTTAATAACTGAAATATTACTTGCTAATAAGTATTCTATGAGACAATGTTTTTTCATATTCATAAGCTACTTTATTGTTGGTCTTTTAAGTAGAACTTTTTGCACAAATAAAGTGAATATGATAAGTTGCAATTTAGATATACGTTGAGATTTGAATATAAAGTTCATTAAGCCTATTTTTGAATAGTATGAAGACAGATTCGAATAAAAATCACCTTTAGAAACCCAATTAGGCACGGTTGTGGCGATGCATTTAACAATCTTTCCAGTTTGTCACAAAAATCTTCTGGTTCGACTTTCATATCAATTAACTCTTGAATAAGTGTCCTTACGCTACGTTCAACTGACTTGGGTTCTTTACTTGATAACTCTAGAAGGTTTGCTAGGAACTTACGGCACTTTTCTTTGGTATTGTCATTGGCCGGTCTCTACAGAAATATTAAAAATTAAATAACAAAATAGAAATTCTCGATGTACAAACCTGAACAGTCGTTACAGTCTGTACCGTCTGACCTTGACTCGAGACCGTTGTGGTCCCACCAGCTACTGCTGGACTGGTAGTTGCTGAACTTGCTGGCGCCTGTGAATTACCGAATATTATTTTCAAAAAGATTAATAGAAAAATTAATTCTTACAGCAGCAACTGTTTGCATACGCAACGTGACTGGCTGTCCTCCAGGAGTCGACGTTGCTGTGAGATTTGCAGTAGCTGGGGGTGGTCCCACCCTCAACAGCTGATACTGTCCATTTTCAGTCTTGAGAAGCAAATGACCTTGTTGGCCGGGTTGCAAACCGTGAAATGTTTGTAATGTTAATTGCTAAAACATTTAACTTTTTTTAGACCGGTCAAAAACTTTCAAATTAGCAAAACCTATAAACACAAACAACTACACAATAACAGGCACAAAACTAAAATAACACTAACAATACATTTTAAATAACTACTGGAATACATTTTGCTTCATAATCTACAATCTAAAGATTCTAGTCTAAAGAAATGAGCCACAAGACTCTAAGGTTAGTAACAAACAAGAAATTTGTTAGTAAGAGTTCCACAGTTAGTTGTATTTTTATTTTACAGTTCGACCAGCAAATGTGTACACCAGTTATTAAACAAAACAATTCTTCAAATAAACTAAATTTTACTCAAAAAACTAAAAGATATTTGACATTTTCGTTGTACGGCTTCGTGTATGTACGTGTTTTGAGTGAACAATTTGTGTTGTTATTTTGAAAAGCTGTACAATGGAAATGACATCAAACACGAAATTTTGCAGTAGAATGGGGGGGTTTGTAGGGTCCGAAAGCGTTAGTTACAGCTTGGATAGAAATTAATCCCAATACTGACATGACACTTTGCGACTTTTAATTTTCAAATAAACACATGCTTCTCAAAGGACAAATACGCTTCAAAATGTTCTACTTTATGTGGGTTACAAAATGTGTTTATTAACATGACTGCAATATAAAACGTTACAAAAATTCCAAACTTTCAGACTGGTATTAGTTAATAAAACTCAATCAACATTCACTCATTAATTCAACGTCACTTTCTTTGCATAAATAGTCATTAGAATTAATCAGCTATCGCTTTTTACAAGATTCTTAAAAATATTAAAAACTCTGGAAAAATGCATGAACGTGAACATTACATGTGTATTTAATCACACAGTAGAAATAACAATCTTTTCCAATGATATTGTATCTCATTGTAGACATTGTAAAAATTTATAATTTAAATAATCGTTCCACTTTGTAATAATGCATATTTTTTGCTTGATAAATATTTCCAGTTAAGTTGAGGGCATAAAATATTCCTCAGGGTATTGTTTTGAATGTGTCTTATGTTGGCTACCTACAACACGATGAGATTATTATGGCAGACAGTTTGTAAACTTGTTGGACGTTGTTTGTTTTGATGATCACATGATAATAAACAGTTCACCAAGTACCGACTTTAGAAGAGAAAACGTAATTTGTCCTAGAATGAAATTTGGGTTTTGTTATTTTGTTAAAAAAAACTTTTAGTTGTTTGTTGAATGTCGCTCAGTAATGTCGATAAGGGACACTTGGGTGTTAGCAAGCATTCGAAGGACTGAGAGTTAGCAGACCCTCCCATTCAACTGTTGTTTTGAGTGTACACCGACTTACTGGAGCTCCTGGCCGGGCCCCGACAATCTGTGGTGCACTGAGCACGACACGTGCCGGTTGTCCTTTCTGCTGCTGAGCGGGAACGCCAGGCCGTACATTGACAACCTGGAGGTTGGAAAGGATGTTTGGGGACTGAGTACTAGGACTACCTACGTTGTTAGCTGGCGGGACCGAGGTGGTCACGTTCATGGGCACAGTGACAAGTCCGGGTGCCGAGGCGCCGCAGGTCTTGATGACCAGCGTGGGTTGTTTGCCAGGGGCAGTCTGGGGCAGCGTTCCGTTGGGCGGCAGTGCGACCCTCGCGTTGGGCAGCAGCGTCCCGGTGCCCGCCATGGCCTGCGAGTAGACAATTTTGACGGGGGCCGCGTCGGCGGTCTTGGCGTCCGATATGGAGTCGCCGTTGGCGACTGTCGAGTGCTTCGGGGGCCCGACGGTGCCGCCGTTGGATATTGCACTGTTCACGTGGTTCTGGGCAGCGGACGCGGGCGCCGTCGTCGACGACGTCACCAGCTGGTTCTCCAGGGAGCCCACGATTGCACTCACGGCCGATTCGTCCACATCCGTACTCAGTGCTTCCTCGAGAAACTTAGCTGACGCCATTTTCCGAGACCCAACTGTAAACTGATGTGCGCATGCGCCCTACATAAACATGATCACGCCAACGGCTGCGCCGTCGACTCTTTACAGCACAAATGCAGAAAGGCATATGAAACAAAAGTCGGAATCGACGCACTTTTAACCACTTTACATGGCCCTCATCTTCGGCTTCTCCGACTTGTTACACGTTTTCGTCGGGGGCAGATTTCACGACGACATCAGCGACAGCTTTTCAGTTTCGTTTACATCGCGGAGTCGATCGCACTTTCGACGTTTTGCTAAGTCATCTGACACGTCATCCTGACCCGCCAAATTTAAATTTTTGCATTTCACTTCACATTCCCAAATCGTAAAATTTACATTTCTTTAGAAAGTTTCGATGCCATATTACCATTTGCAAGACGACATTTTGCGGCAAATGTACTACGATGATAGCCCCGATTTCTTCCACGCAGCCTACATAATTATTACGTCATACTCAATTTTTACATTCTTATAATTTTCTTCTGTCACAAGCCGCAACTTTCTTTATTTCAAAGCTCAATTGCCGGTTTTTGTTGCTTGAGTATTATTTCTTAAGAGATTGTTTGTTGCAAAATCTCATGACCTACAACAACCTTGCAACACCATACTGTTTTATCACAAGTCACAAAACACTAGCCAATTTAATCAAATTCTCGCTGTTTATTTTTAATTTTAAATTAAGAGTACCTACCTAATCAAAAAAAATTAGAGCGTTTACTATGTATGAAGTATTTTTTATAGAATACAATATATGGCTTTTTTAGGATAAGAACATAATGTAGATTTGGTTCCAAGTTTGATATAAATTTGTGCTTGAAATTTTATCCATTTATTTTGTTAGTGTTTTCTCAAATAAGTATCTATAAATGTTAGTATTTGCAAAAGATGAGCATTATCTTATTTATTAGAATTATATTTAGTCTACAACTGTACTGTCATTACTTTAATAGAAGACTATATAATTTTTTTAAGAATTAATTGTAGATAAAACTACTTAAATAGACCTATCCGTCCATTTTACAAAGGCCTGTGAGTATAAGAAGGGTTTATTTAATCGATGACAGCAAAAAAGCCATCAATCAATAAGTTTCTGGTGCCAAATAAATAGGTACGTTTGTTGCAATGTTTTTTTTATGCTAATAGATTTATTTGATGAAATTTTTCAATCATATCTCAAGAAATGAAACTGAACGTAATTTATCACAAAATTGTTTAGTAAGAAATACGGTATAATATCGGATAATACAGCTCAAAGTAATTTTTATTTGCAAATAATAACTTACAAAGAAGTTCATTCGAATTTTGTTGAATTATGATTTTCATTATGAAAAAAAAATAAAAAATTCGTAGGACTTAAAGACAATTTTATTTACAGGTACTAAAATATGACAACTGTAATAGAAAATTAAAAAGTTCAGAATGTAAAAATTGATCAAATCAGTTGAATATTTAAAATTAAATCAAAATTTTAGCGATAGCTCTGATCCAATTTACATCTGAATAAAGCTTACAATAAGTGAAGTGTGAAACAGGTAATTTTTAATATTATAAATTATACAACATGTGAGGTTTAATAACTTTTGTAATGCTTTAATGTATACAAAGAAACGGTCGATTTCCTATTACCAAAGGCGACATATCCACTATTAGGCGAGAAATTAATAGCATTTACATGTCCCAATTTGGTCTCAAACGCCGGGAAGTTGCTAAAGACTGTCTCAGATCCTACGTGGAACAATTTAACGGAATTCTGTATTTCAGCAGATGATAAGGCTAAAATCTCGGATGAAGCATTAAATTTCAAATCAGTAACGCTAGTAGTCAAATTCATAATGGCCTTCCTAGGTTTAGGTACTTTATTAGATAAGACATCCTCCACCCCATATAAATTAACCACTCCCTGTGCAGAACCCGCCGCGATGAACTGATTCGAAGACGAAACCGCCAAAGTAGTTCCTTGTAGACAGCCCTCGTCGGTAAACTTGTGCATGACCCGTCTCATGTTCATGTCCCAGACAGTTACTTCTCCACAATCACTGTGTCCATACAGTAAATTACCTCGGGGGCTGTAGGCGAGAGCTGTAACTTCAGAGTTTTGCTTCAAAGTTGCGATTCGTTCTTTTGACGCTGTTGTAAGCAAATGAACTTCGCCCCACTTGCCTGCAGTTGCTATAAACTGGTAATCAGGCGAAGTGACAAATTTCTTGAACCGGGTTAACCCGGGAGGTAACGGGATTCTAGTGGATTTAGCAGCCATTAAGTCGTAACTGAAGATATGGGACCGCCGCGACCCTAAAATCGCCTCATTACCGTTTTGAACAAATTTTGCACAAAAAATAGGAAAATTTTGGAATAAAACACTGTGTAACTTGTTGTTTTGTCGACCATCAACGGCGTACAAGGAAGCAACACCATTGTGGCCAGCTACTAGTGCCACACGCGAGGTTGGGTGAAATTCAACAGCGTTGATAATGGGGCCCTCACTGTACGTCTCACAATTCAAATCTTTCACTTTTTTGAACTCCAAGACGCCCGCTGCTAAGTTCGCCCGTGTAGTTTTCCTGATAAATCCACAACTGTGTAAAATTTCCTCATCAGAGTCAGAATCGTGGCTCTTGTGTTTTTCAAGCGAGGCCCACGAAGGCGTCCCCACGATCGAGTTAAATTTGTTTTTAAGCAAAGACGAGTACTTGTTGCTTCGGTCATTGATACCCCCCGATGGCAGACTGCGCCCCTGAGCATCCAAAGCGTGTCCCACTTCAATTCCATCGTCATCTTCATCGTACCAAGCCGGACTCCGTTCTCTGGTGTCACTGTCGGAAGTGTCCTCACCAACTCCCGAATCTACGTTTGAACAAGAAGCCCCAATTTCCTGTTCAGCTTCCTCCAAGCTTTTCAGAAAGCTCGAAGCGCCCCCGAAGAGGATTTTATTGAGTTGTTCTTCTTCAGCCTGCGCGTCTTCATCAAAAGGTCGGAACTTGTTTTTAGGAGCATCGATTTCGTATTCAATATCGTTATTTATGTTGTCGTGACGGCGTTTTCGGGTGTGTTTTGGCATTTTCGCTCGTTTATTTCTTAAATTTTGGAATTTAGAGCAAATGAGGTCTTTAAGCAACTGTCAAAACGCACTGAATGACAGCATTCTTTGACAGCACGACACGCGTAGTTGCGTTTGCGCACAATTTTATAATACAGAAATACGGTACAATAGAATGTTTTTTTATGCTTAAATCAGAAGCTGGTGCTTTAAAAAGAGTGTTACTTTTCGAGCGCTAGATTAGATTTTTTTTAATATACTGAAAACATTAAAATTACTGAAGGATTGTTTATTACTGTTACGTTGGCGATATTGGCGCGCTTAAAATCATCCGCCGAATTTGCATCTTTAAAAAAATATTATTATATTGATTGTATTTTGGGGCGTCGATAAATGAAAGAAAGTGATAGTTGTCATGTGTCTTTTTTATTTATTTCTAACTGTAATAAATAAACATTCTCATGTATTTACAGAAACACATTTACGATCGACACATGCTAATGAAAATGGAAATAATTTATCTGTGATATGTATGAATTAAACATCTATATAAAAACGTCGACATAAAGAGCGTTGCTTATGTGTTACAAACAGGGTGTGATTACACAATAGAAATTTGTTGAAACTTTTTGTAATGGAAACGATTTATTACTTCTTTAAGAAACGTGGTCCTAGATGTTGATTTAAGCTGAACTGTGCAACACATTGAAAAATCGAATGCCGGGTTTAAAGGCGCTAAATACTAACGTGCTATGCTTCTAAGCATGACTTAAATTCACGCACTTGATTGTCTCGTGCCTTTAAATTAAATTAAGATGATTTGCATGTGTTTGAAATTATAAAATTGTAAATTGTACTTTTCAATAACAATACACACATGCTAACCAAAATAATTTTCACTTGTCGAATGGAATTTAGAAGTAGGTATACTTAATTATTGGTTTCTCCAACAAGATCGTGTTTATAGAAAATACGTTACATACTTAAACCTAACTATGCTTAAGTTTAAGATTTATATCTAAAATATCCATGCCTGTATACATCCTTGGTACAATATGAATCATTCATTCTATCATTTATTTACAAAGGTTCTTATTTACAAGGTAAATGGCACTGGAAAATTTTATTTTATGTAAGTACGATCCTTATAAAAATACAAATACCTAACAAAATAATCACACTTCTTGGAACGTAAAATAGAAAAATATATAAAACGAAATTAGATCGACTTGAGCCGTTTGTCAGAAACAATAAATCAGCGCTACGATAAATCTTGGATCACAAATTTGACGTGTTTCGGCAGTTAAATATATTTTTTTTTTCTTAAGTACACAACATAAACTTTAATCAAGACATACCATACAACAGCGTTTTCGTAATTTATAATATTTAGACTTATCCTACACATTTCTGACTAGAATATACATCCCGAAATGGGTAATTGAAGGATTTTTCGTTTCATTGTAAGTGAATCCGCGAAGTAGGTCAAACTACTTTCCAAAAATGGTATTGTACAAAAACTAACCAAAAAATACACTTAATATATAATTATACCATGTAAAGTGTGTGAGTCGACACATACAGGAAGCACGTAATTAAGAAACAGGTTCTTAAGTCTAGGTTTAAAAATTATTGAAGAAACTATTCGGTATCCAATTTTTCTCGCAAAGGCCTTCCATCACTGATGACATCATTCTAATAGGTTCTCCTATAATTCGTCGAAAAACTGTCATACCGAGCAGCTGCCTTGGTCAATCTACAACTTGATAGAACGATATGGTTTTATTTGCACAAAAACAGTGTGCGATATCACAATGGGTTCACATTCATGAAAAAAGCTTGAACAACCTTATTTTACCGAGTACATGAGGGAATGTCGTGAAACAAATCAGTCCTTACGCCCTTAAATAATAATACCTGAACATTCAAAATCAGAAAAAAAACATCGAGATGTCCGTCCAAACACACAAAACGTCAGTCGAGTCCGCGTTACACTTGGGTGGGTGCCGGCATGTATCCCAGATTTTTTCTCTGGAGAAAGAGGTGTATTTCGGCAAAGCGGGGCCGGTCAGTAGCGTTCCTCTTCCAGCACTCGCCCATCAGGTCGTAGATCTCCCGGGGACACGCCGCCGGCCGGGGGAGGTACCTCTGGCAACCGTCGTTTTGGTACCAGTGGTTGCAGTTCTCGACGACTTGTTCGCTGGTCAATTCCGCGTAAGGCTGTTGGGTGCACAACATCAACACTTCCCACAAAGTCACAGCGAAGGCCCACACGTCGCTTTTTGTCGTTTGTCGGCCCTTAAACACAGTGTTAACAATAGCGCACTTTTGATTTCTTCATACTCACGAGTAGTAAGCTTTCCCACGACATCCAGCGGATCGGAAGCCGAGCTTTCGTATCACTAATGTAGTAGTCTGATTCGTATCTATCGCAGTACATCGCATGATCAGATATTTTCACCGTGAAGGTCTTGTCTATTACGCAATTCCTGTAAAAAGACACGTTTGAGAGGAAGTGGTGGTGTGGTTGAAAATAGTAAAAAAAATCAATTCAATTTTTAAGAAAAACAGTAAACAAATTGTTTTCTTTACAGCTGGATGTTGTTCCTGAATTAAATCAGTACCTCACACACACAGTAACACACAGTTAAATCTCATTGTAAATACAGGATGATTCACGAGGAATAGTGAGCCTGACCAAATTCTCGATGCAACCATTTTCATAGGTCAGATAGATTTCAAAAAGTTTTTGTAATAAATATGAAATCATAGCGAGCACACTTACAACTTGTCAGTTTTGACCTTAAAATAATGAAAAATAGAAGTACTTGAAATACCAACACAATAATGGGTATATTAAAATACGAATTACGGAAGGCACTCATTCAAGTCTCATCCAGTGGTACCCTTCGCCTTGATAACTTAACAGAAACCAAATTTTCTCAAAACTAACCTGATCGTGTCAGAAAATGCTCTTTCTTTCCGGATAAGTATCATTGGACATCACACAGGAAGCTAAAATCAGTCTTCTCATCATTGGAATAAGTCCACATTTTGCTCAGTTTATAATAAATTTGTAACGTTTGTCAAAAATGACAATGACTATGATTGATGATAATAATAGGCATCGTGGATTCAAATTATAATTTTTTTAAATGTCGCAGATGTCAATGGTCGCAAAGCAACTTGCAAAAGTGTAACTGATGGTCTAAGAATTTGGTCAGGCTCATTATTCCTCGTGAATCACCCTGTATTTGTAAATACAGTAGTTTTTATTCTTTTATGAAAAAAACGTATATGTAGTTCAAATTGCATGATAAAAATACAGTAACATAAGTAGGTTATCGACAATACGCCAAAAATAAATCAAAAAATTCTTATGTTCAGTTTTTTTATAAAAAAAAATAAAATGGCCAAAAATATATTTTTAAAAATTTATTTTTAAACGACACATACAAAAAATTTCAAATTAATATACAGGATACCCATTTTATCTGTTCCCGTCTGAAATTTCATAAATAGGCAACCAATTTAACTTTTCATATGAGACTTTGTATTTAAAATGTTATTTTTTTTTATAAACGAATAGGCAGCTGCCGATTTATGTCAGTGAATTTTGTCAGTTTTTATTGTCAAATTAATTCGAGATGTAATTAATTCGTGACAATCCTAAAAGTGAACTATGGAACTTGGAAAAAACGGATATGATATTAATTTTGGAAAAGTACCGCGAGAATTATAAAGCCTCAGTTCGCCTGTATGCCATAAGACACCCAGGAAAAAAAATTCCATCTAATCATGTTTTCCGGAAGATTGTGAGCAATTTACGGCAAACTGAACAATTTAAAAAAGTTAAAGTGAGAACAATAATTTATAATAATACAATAATTTGTTAATTTCTTGCTATTGTTTCCATTATTATACATTTGAGTTTTGAATTTAATTTTGTTTTCAATATTTCAATAGTCAAGCACCGACTGTGATATGATTATTCGATTTAAAATAGTTAAAACTTTACACAAAGTAGTTTATAAAATGTATAATATGTAGCCTATTTTTGCTTCTTTAGACAGGAACAAATAAAATGGGCACCCTGTATATTGTAACTGAGTCATCAAAAGGTTATGATTTTATGATATGATTTTTTGGTCAATACAGTTCAAACTCGACTTCAACCTTAATGAAGGAAGCTAAATCGTTTAGCTATCTAGAGATAAATTTGCATCGAAAGATAAATTGTTAATGATTATATCTGAAAATTGTTTTAATATGCAGTGAGTGTCAGACGTTTGGCACAAAATTAATCTTTTTTGTGCAAATCATTGATGAAAAAATCCTTGAACAGGCGGATTATTTTGTTTTTTTAATTTTTATAATAACGTGTTTCAGAAATATTTATTTGCCTCGCCTCCATTCGATTAGTATATCTTTAATATTAATTAATTAAAAAAAGCAACACCTTATGTAAGTTCGAATTCAAAAACTATTTCCATTGCAGTAATGGGCTTTTATTGTCAGTAATATAAATATTTGATGCCATTGCAATATGTTTTAATGACAAATAGCACCAAATGTAATTACCAATTTAGTAAATAATAAATGACACAATAGGTATTTATTTAAAAACATCCAATAACTGAACATACCATGCTTTTAGCGTAAATAATGTAAAATTTAAACAGTTGTTTTTTTCCGGACGTGAAAGTACCCATTGCAGCTGTTCAATTTATAGCCCATAATTAATTCAATTCGTAACCACATAACGACTTGGACGTTACAATATGAGCTTCCATAATAATATTTGCGTTCCCGATTTTGTAAAAACAAATTATATTCATATTTCTGTCGTGCTTACCTTGCGGCTAAATCCCTGTGGACTAAGTCTAAGGATTCTAAGTACTTCATTCCGGAAGCAATCTGCGTGGCCATGTATATGAGACAGCCGTAACTGAAAAAAACAAGCAATAAGTTAATTAAGGTGAGAAACCTCCGAAGAGGGCGAAGGCGGAAAGATTGCCGTTTTGCATGGAACCGTGCGTCTTATAACGCGCGAACTTTCATCGACATTAAATTGAAAACTCTTCAAAAAGCACGAATTTCCTTTGAAAGTGTCGGAAAGCCGGGCGAAAGTTTTTTCCGCTGCATGGAGTTTTTCGGTGCGACGACGCCTAATCAAGTTCTTTGCTTTCGTCGAGTTTTTATTGTGTGCATTTTAATATTCGAAGAGTAATTACCTGTCTTGTGGCGGCTGACTATTGCGGAAATTTAAATGAAGACGTCGTGTAAATTATTCAACAAATAATAGCAAAACGTTAGGAATTATGTTTTATTGCAGATAACAGCGAACGAGTTTATAGGATCACGTTGGTTAATTTCCGCCCCGTTATGTTTAATATTGCATTAGAATGGAGGGATGTGTCATGGGGTGTTATTCGATCTGAGAGAAATTTCGACCCGGTCACAATTCCATAACCATAAAGCATAGACCACGGAATTATCTAGGTGACATCCGAATGCGAGAACATTAAGACATTTAGTCCACATTTCAAACACTTACCATCACCATCATTAAACAGCCCCTTCGTTTGCTCAAAATCACGAGTTGACTCATGCCATTCGGATGCCATTTTTACTAGATATTAAATTTTAATTATGCCTTTAATTAATTGTAAAATGGGGGAAATTATAAGCACTCTCGACACAAAAATTTTTAACAGCCTTTGCCTGGCCCTCTGGAATAGCAATTTTGTTTTATAATTCACTACATTGATTATTATGATCCCATATGCGATAACAACTCTCTCAGTTAATTAATCTAGATTGAGTTTGGTTAATCGATGCCTGTGGATAAAAAAGCTTTAATAAATTTTGTGTTTAATGTTTAAATTAACAAAGACTGTAGAAATGTGATGAAAATAGTTACCCACAGGGCCGCTAAAAATAATGTAATTTCAATCTATTATGTTTTCTCATAAACTGCTCTAGTATACATATGAACAAAAAGCACGAATAAAATATGTACGATTTATGCTTTGACTGATTTGCTTTGGTATTTTAGATTGTTTTCAAATACATTATAATATATACGTATCAAATTATTAGTTTCTCGTTTTTATACACTTGAAGTCAAGTAAGTAAATTACATAATTTTTACAAAAAAATGGCTAATTGGTAATAAACATGCTACACAAGAATGAAAAAATCGGATATTTTGGTTTTATCACAAAAACCCTCTTGGAAAGAAATCTAAACCCTTTAATGTTTTGAATCTTATTTATTCCATTTAAAATTCTAAAAATAATTGAGTATCTACATATAAGAATAAACAAAAAACAAAATTTCTTAAAAAGTCAGTATAAATTTTTAATTTTTGTATGTTTCATTCCAAAACCTTAAAAATAATTGAGTAAAAAGAAAATAATCTTTTTCATATATTGTTAAACTTCACATTTTCAAGAACTTCTAAATTCATTATACTGTTTTAATTTAGAAAAAATTGATCGTTATTAGTAGCATAAGGTTATAGAGACTGCTTGTTTATGTATTAAAAATCAGAAGAGGAAAGAGTACTAAAATAAACCAATGAACAAAGTAAATCAAATATGGTTAGAAAACCCTTTATTTACACAATCTAAGTGAATGGAATAGTTGAAGTTGAAGGAGTTTTTTTAAACCGTAGAACTTTTAGTTTATTCAAACATAAACTTTCTTGTGTTTTATACCTTTTCAATTAAGAAATTAATCAAAAGTAAGAACAGAAAACTTACAATTGATTGTAGTACCTAATCATTTTTAAAGTTCATAGTTGTAAAAGAAAAATTAAAACTTGCAAACAAAAATATTTTTGTGTCAATAACTGAAACTATAACAAAGTTAAAAAAAAACATTGTTTTGTTGTTGCATGACAAAAGTTGTGCAAACGTCGTTCATTAAAAAACTGTTTGATTCCATTTGATGCAGCATTTCAAACCTTTGTTGTGAAAAATCTCCCGATTCGTTTTTGTGTTCGATATTAAATTTTCCAAGTAGTTTTCATCCCGCAAGCCAGAGAGCTTGAAAATCCGATCTTTCATCTCTATTATCATGCGGAAAAATACGTGCGCATGTTGAACAATTAATTCTTTTTCTCTCCCCCGAGACGTCAGAATTTCCCCGATAAGTAAGCAAAAAGCTCGCCGTAATCGCTTGTTTTAAGGTTCATTCGCTAATGGACTTGTCACAGCGATTTATGATGTGCCGACGTTAATTTATGCATTTTTTCCTATTCAAGAAGCAGCGAAGAATACAAAAAATTGTTAATCCGAAAAGAGCTTTCGCGATACATTAAACAGAATGATTAATAAGAAAAGATGAATGACGGTGTTTTGATCGTGCGACGTTTCTCGGTCGCAAAACCGACAATGTTATACTTTTCACAATTTAGGTCGTGTATTTCAGTTTCCGGAGGCACTAACCTTCAGGAAATTTCAGTCTCTGAAACCGATTTAATCGGAGACATGGCGCGCTATCACAAGTTCGACGTCTCTCATCGATACCAATAAACGAGCTTTGTCGCCACATAAAGCTTATTAGTAATTTCGAATGGCGTTCCGCTGAAACGGATTTATCGAATTAAATGCCTCTTGTGAGCTGAGCTGAGACCCAAAGAACGAAGTTTTGTTAATTTGTGTATTTAATTGAAAATCAATCAACGTGCAGATGACATTTGATTTCAAAGCAAAATGTTGATTGCGATTTTTCTGAAAATATAGAAAACTGAACAAACTGAACAACTGACAATAATTTAAATATTTAATTGAATTTCGTTGCGAAACGAGAGGCAACGTTTTTTTCCATAAATGAGCATTTGGAAATTCTATTGGTTAAAAGTTGGACGACAGCTAATCAGCTTGTTGTTGATTGATCTTGTACTAAATTTTTAATAAGCAAACTTTTTTCTTTTGCCGATCGAACTACAAGGCAAAAATTCGCATTGTTACAGACTCATATTTTATTAAAAAAGTAAACAAAACAAAGTTCTTTGTTACGTTCTATTTTTTCCGTTGGTAAATTTCCGTATCAAAGAGAATCTGTTCTGCATCAAGAAGAAAAAAAATAAAGTTTCGACAATACATCCCTGAGGTTATTTTAAACGACTTCAGGACTTCAAAAAGTCCAATTACATGCGAAATTTTCATATTTGTTTCAGTATTTCCCCTCCACCACCATAAATTATCGCTTGGCCTATTTTTTCGGACGACGTTTCCCTATTATTTTTTAAACCGAATTATTTACAGCTAGTGACTCTGATCACCTTTGTTCCTCCCAAGTTGTTCTAATTAAAGACCCTGGTACGAGAATACACCGCTTCTGTTTCATTATAGAAAATAGCATTTATGTTTAGTTCGCAATTAGTACTTAATAACGTTTCAGTAATGAATTCATTTCAGGGTGTGTGAGCTAGTGCGAACTATGAAGGTTTCGTCCAAGAAATTAAAATTAGTTTACATGACCATCCGACTGTAATACGACCGAATGAAATTAAATTAAGGACACGGAATGGAGGATTATGATAATGGGGGCAGTAGAGGGGTACGTTCGCGAATGGCGACGTATAAGACGTTAATAATGGGCGGAAGGAATGAATTAGAAGGATACAACGCGGTTACATTAAATTAAAAAACTCCGTTAATATGACGTGATCGTCGAATAATTGAGATTTATGTCCAAATAATTTATAGCGATGAGGGATGAAAAAAGAAATAACTTAATTAAGCACATAATGAAAGTTTCGCGTGCCCCAAAGATGAACTCGCCTATCTCTCCAATCTTTCACTTCGATTACTGTAAAACAGGCGGTGATCGTGACATAATGTATTAAACGATTTTGCAGAAGTAATAAATAACACCCCTCTACTTTTATTAATTTTTATTTAATATTTCGTTTTCATAACTATTTCTACATTTATAATATTTCATTTTACTAAATTTTTAACATTTCAGTAATAAAATACATTATTTTATTTATCATATATTCAACACAACTCTAACTGAGACATTTCTATTTTCTTATGTGCGCTCATATTTTTAAAGAAAGTAAACTTAAGGTAGATAATAAAGATTAACGCTAATAAAGTAACAATTTGAATGATAAAACTAAATACAAATATTTTAGTATCACTATTTTCTTGCATGGGTTGCGATATCAATTTTTCAGTCTTGGATTCATTCAAATTGTAGGTCATCAATTTATAATTCTCAAAGTATTTAAAAAAACTACTTTGACTAAATCCTTTATTGAAAAATTGTGAAAAATCCGAAGTGTTAAAATTTGTTAAAATTTTCATATTCTCCAAACTATCACTCATCGATTTTTGTAAATTTTGAGTTATGTTTTTAAACGAAATAGTTTTGAGAGAATTTTCAAAATTTCGTACAAAATTTTCGGCAGATGGAAGTAAAGTTTCTGATTTAGTGCAAGCCATTCCTCTAACATTTTCAATATCATATGAATAACCTTCAGATATAGCGATTTCGCTGGTTTGCAAATAATGAACAATGGAGACAAGTTCTCTACAAGATAATGGATTTAAATTGAAAGAAATAAATTCTAGTTTTGGCAAATGTTGAATTAGTTCTTTTGAATCAAACGTTGAAATTAAATTGTTGTCAAAGTACAAGTTTCGTAAATTTGGGAGAAAGTGTAAGCAATTTAAATTAATCAGTTTATTGTTAGAAATGTTTAAACTTACAAGATTGATTAAACTGTCGAACAGTCCATACGAAAATTCTTCGATATGGTTTTGCGACAAGTCTAACAAATGCAAATTTTTTAAATTACGAAATAAATCAGGATTAATTTTCGATATAATGTTATGTCTTAAGTTTAATTGTTCTAGAGATGTTAAATTACAAAAAACACAACTTTCTAGTTTTGAAATTTTGTTGTAACTAAAATCAAGAAATTTAAATTCTGGTCTTAAAGTTTTTAGAACTTCGATTCTGTTATGACTTAAATCAAGTTCATCACCATCAAAACAACCATCAATATTTTTTATTTGATTATAGTCAAGTAGAATATTACTAGCGTTAATCATTTCACAATTTTTTAAAACAACTATTTCATTATGTGATAAATACAGCACGTCAACTTGTGGGAAATAAGCAAAATCTATGCTAGACAATTGACAATAAGACATATCAAATACATTCAGTGATAAGTTTGACAAATCTTGATCTATTCGACTTAACTTTGTATTTGACAAATGCAGTTTTTTAATGCCCGATAAATCATTAAAAGGAAATTGTTGTAATGGATTTTGCGATACATTGAGACTTGTCAAGGTATGCAACTTTACAAATGTTCCATTGTCAATAATAGAAATATTATTATCACTTAAATATAAATGTTGTAAGTTAGACATACCCATAAAAGCAAAGATTTCAATCCATCGAATTTTATTATGTTCTAAATTCAAGATTTGCAAATGATGTAAAGAATTAAAGACACCATTTCCAATTTTTGTTAAGTTGTTATTGTTGAGATGCAGTTCTTCAAGAGATATGAGACCGCTGAAAGCTCCTGGTAAGATATTTCTAACGTGTTGTCCATTTATAAATAACTTATTTATTGTAACAAACTGAGATAACTCCGATGGATTTATTGTTAAGATATTTGAGTTTGTAATAACTAAATTTTGCTCATAGGATTCCCTTTGGAAAGAATAAACAATGTCCTGAATTGAATTTACATTTGTGCAAATTATTTCTTCACTAGCAATATTACTGTCTTCTTCATAATTCTCCTCATAATTACCGTAAGTGAGTTTTTCATAGCACTCAGCATTAATAGATTTTGTGAAAAACAGAAACAACACAAAACCGGAAAAATGTAACATTTTTCTATAAAAAAATAATAAAAGATAATATTATCCAATTTATTAAACATATACGTACCTTCAACAATTTTTCAAGATTAAATTAACGTCACTTTTTTAAGCTCAAATAATTGATCAATTTACAATAAGTAATAATAATTATACAATAATATGTCTACACAAAACGAAATGAATAAATAATAATTATGTCAGCATCTCGCGTGTGTCCGACCCGCTTACAGAAATATTTGTAGTATCAGCATAGAGGAAATTACATATGTGGTTAGTTGTTTTCTATGAGATAGTTTCTTATCATCTCCCTCTTATTCTATGGTTATCATTTATCATTTATTGATTTATCCGTTCAGTTATAATAACCAACATTCTGAAAAAAGAGAATGACGACGGGATCTTTGTGAGTCTAGGCTCCAGAAATATGTCCCCGGTTGACCCGTCCCCCTCTCAGCGGCCCTGTTCATAACACTCTAATTTCAATAAAAAATGTAGGTTTTCAAAGTAAATAAAATAAAACCATGCGTGTTCCTAAAAACGGGTAAAAAACGGAAACACCCACACAATAACCATCTTTATCACTCACATGCTTTGCATTAACTTTGTTAGTGATAAATTCACTGTAATTTTTTCAACGTTTTATTCAATATATATCACAATGGTGCTTCAAACTATCATAAAAATGTTTTAAGAACGTATTTAAATTTTTCTTAAAAATTATTTATTAATTAAATATAAATCACCAAAAAGTGATACAATTTTAAAAACTGTCTGATAAGCTAAATAAATTTTAGTTTAGCTAGCATATAACATATTTACTATGTATTTATAAAAAGACTATAGGGACAAAAGTAAAAGCAAAATGTTTTAGAAATTATCAGACTAATAGTATAATAATTATAGTAATAATAATTTTACAACAGAATAACAGATTATAAAATAATGACTACCTTAATTCTCTAATATTGATTTAAAATGAGATCCTTCTTGCGTTTAAAAAAAGCATTTTTATAAAATTAGTGTTGATGTTTCACATTTTGTTAGAATTGTAGATGACATTGTCATAAAATTTTGTAGCAACGTCTGTTTCAGGAAAGACGAGCAAGAAAGATGTGACATTGTGAATAGGTACCAAGCTTTTTATTCCACGTTTTGGTTAGATTCTATCTGGAAAAGAGATATACGAATTGTTGGTTGCCTACATTAGAGATTGATGTGCTCTGCTTTCGATTTTGTGACCGATGAGGCGTAACTTCTTTGTCGTCATTAAACAAGAAAAGACAATCACTTATATAATGACAACACGTTTATTGTTCCGCAAGTTGTAAACTTGGGAAGGTCCATAAAAAATAACTTGTAGGTAGATATTTTAGTGTGGCTATATTTCGCCGTTATGGGAACGGTCTTTATTACTGCACGCAGTTTATTCGGTGGTCGTTGAACGCGGTATGAAAACCACCCCGAGCACAATACGGAATTTTTATGAACGGGATAAAATCCCGGTCTAAAATCGTATAATAGAATTTTTGTCTGGTGTGCTCTCACAATATGGGATTTTTTCATACATATTTGGAATGCTACGTGCACTTTTTATTTAAAAAAAAAATCATCCCCCGTCCGGTTGTCATCCGCAACGATATTTCGCGTTGGGTTCAATTTAATTGACATTTGAGTTTCGATTCGGTACGAAATTAATTCCAAACATTCAAACATCGGTGGAGTGATTCATGTAGTGTTGAAAAAATAATTTGACAATTTGGCCGGGTATTGGTGTTTATCCGCGCCATACGTCATTACCAAATGGGCAAATAATCAGGCATGGATGTGTTTAATTAACGGTGGTCGTTTGTTCAAACAACGGCAGCTGGAAAATTATAAATCGAACGAGAATTGCAAAGTGGCATAAATAATGCGAAACAATCATTTTTGCGAGAGGAGAGCAAGCAAAAGAACAATAAGTGCTCGAGAGAGCACCTGCTAAAAAACAAACACAATTTATAGAGAGGATCCTGGAGGTCTAAGACGAGGGAAAATAGTGAACATTCAAAAAATAACAGTAAATATTGGAATAGGGACGGCGTTCGTTGGAATAGTTAACTTCACATGTCCGACCAACCTCCTAGTAACTATATTTACATTAAATATCCTGCTGAATATTTGGCCGATCATAAAGCAAGCAAGTTCAGCAGGTTGCCATTATTATTCCATGCAAACTTGATTAACTTCGTATGAGACGAGGGAGTCGTTTTAATGCATTGAAAATCATTCAGATCTCTGCAAACCGGTGCGGAGAATAACACTATAATAAACACAAAAATTGCAATCCATTCACTTTAATACCAGTCTAAAATTACGTTTAATCACTCATTTAGTTTCCCCATTTTTTTTCAGAACTTTTTTCAAGGATCGTTAATGTTTTAAGATGGCTTCATCGGGATTTTCGCCAAGGAAGCCCTAAATTATGCGGCAATTAAGGCCCCAATATTCGTAATACGTTAATCAGTGAAGTAGATAAAAGTTGTGTTAATGGGAAGATTAATTCTGGTGCTCGGTCGACCGGTAATAATTCAGTCGGGCAAAAGCGAGCAGACGAAACTTGCGAGGAAACGTGTTGATGCCGATGTTGCGCCCTGTTCTCAACTAATTTTTATTCTAAAATTCGAAACTTGGACCATTTAGTAAACTTGTACAAAAGTAAAAGCACGCCACTTGCATTTCCCTGAAACAGGTAAACCTGGAGGGTATAGAGTGGGAGAAAACAAAGTATATTCGTCGACAATGTGTGCCTAAACCTAGAACTTTTCAAACAATTTGAAATACAACCAATTATCATTTTTTTAAGTTTTATTTCATGATCTTCGTTTTGTAGCATGAGGCCACAGGCATCAACGATAAACTGTCATGTAATTTATGTAAATGTTTTAAATGTTTGCAACATCATTGTGAGAAAAGCCGGATTGTATTGTTTAGTTTAACTATAGACAAATATTTCCCTAAAGTATAGAAATCATTTAATAATGGGACCCACAACTTAGTTTATTGAACGTTAAGTCACCCCAATCCCAAATTTGAATAGGAGTACTATTCTATGCGATTAGGAAATCTGGGTTAGCGTATGTTGAGGTTAAAATTTAAATTAATTCAAGCTGAAAATTCAAAAGAAGTACTTTGAAAAATTTAGAAAACAATCAAATTTGTAAATTGTAAGGGCTCAGGTCCTTGACTGGCGAGGCGTTTTATTATCTCACAAAATTGGAATATTGGCTCGTTTTGAATGGGTTATGACGTTCCTGCGTTCAAAATTAATGCCGCCAACATACATGAAACAAATAAACTGTCGGCTCGAACAATAAGCTCTTAAATCGTGCCCATTACGGTGTAATGCCCATTCTAGCACCTAGCAACATTACTAAACAATCAGTTGAATATTAAACACGGATCGGATGAATGGCAAGGATCATGAATGCAAAACGCTTTGTTCAGAGCTTTAACGCTTTAACCCAGAGAGAGACGTGGAACGCTTCCACTGAAATTACTCAGAATGTTCCGGTTCTCAGTTGATAATCGTTCAACGATCCCACTTCTGATTCTCTCAACAGAAGATGGTGAAGCATACAATCGAAGCTTTTTCCGAACGGCAGAATGAGAAACGTTCGAAAAGGGCACTTATATGCGTCATTAGCAGTTTACGAACATGTAGGGGAAATAGGGGAAACTTAATCCGATCCGAGTTGAATGGAGTAATATTTCAATTAGTAAAGGGTAAACATACACATGTTATGTAACTAAATAGTTAGGCATTGTTACGCCTTAAACATCTTTCACAGGGCGAGCAATGCCTTACAGTCTGTCAAAAATAGTGATATAACTTGTTTTTAGGGAATAGGGAATACATTTGATGTTTTTCACTCATTATTTTGACTAGGTTCTATAATTTAGTTTACCCGGAATTGCTAGATTAAATTAAGGGTATTCAGAAATTTCAATGAAATGTGAATATTTCGTGTTCAAAAACACAAAACATCGTTAATAGGATTGGCGGTGATGTGATGTAGTACATGTAAAAAATTATCCATGCGGCTGATCACACTGGTACACTAATTACGGAACATTAGTCTAATCATCGGTTTCATCGGGGATTTGGGTTCCGCATAGTCAGCTGCTTTGTGACGTTAATTGGTGTTTCAGTACATCTGCATGGGTAGATCCGGTTAAGAGTTTGGCTATTTCTAAATGTAGTGCATTCTATGGTCACAAACACACATCAAAGTGCGTCAGGTCGTCCTGAAGTAGCCCAAAACCAATTACATGCGTGGCTAATTTATATCGAAATTGAAACCAAACAAATCAATGCGGGAGTAAATTCTACCTTATTGTTGGTCCAACTTGGTTGCCGTCCTCGCTGACGGCCCTTTGCGCCAGAAAGCGGGGCAGGTCCCCTGGGTCTGAGTGCTCCAGAAGGGCACACATGGGTTCGTCTTGGCTACACAAGCCCACCACGCGGGCCAGATTGGGGTCTCTGAGTCCCGCTAGCCAGCTGGTCTCCCTCAGGAACTCATGCCTGGAACGTAGACAATAAGAGGATTCATGCATGTAACGAGGGGATGTTGGCCGTCTATTTGATTCGATTTGCGGATGTGAATCATATGGCAAGTCAATACGTGACGTCGGGATACGAATGCTGAATAGGTTAAATCTGATTTCGCATACGGAGATATTTTTTTAATTTCGATAGTGTTCGAGTGAGAAATAGGTCCCTGAGAAGGGTGGGATTTCTTGTAAACTTTTCTCAGAGATGTAAAAGATGCAGGATTACTTTTCATATGTTTCAATTACTGTAATTAATCCTCGAATAAAACTAGAATTCATCAAGTTAATGACAGTACAACAAAGTAATGAATCGGGATAATTTGCAGCCAGAGTAATCACCCTCATTCAAATTTTACCATATTTATTTATTCATGCATGACACTGTTTGATAGTGCAAATACGTATATCAAAAAAGTTAAAATTTCATAAAATTCGAGTTCAATCAAGAAAATTTTAAAATTTATTTTTTAGGGGAGACAACTTTGACCCACTTTTGTGATGGTCAAAAATTCTTTCAAAATATTTAAAGAATCACGTTTGTTGTAAATTACTTTGAGTATACCTTTTGGTGTCCCCACAGCCCCTCCAGAGACTTTTGACGATGACTAATTGTTTCTTATGGAACGAGGAGCCT